ACCGGTTTTAGCGGAGAATCTCCGTCCCTGTTTGGGTCAGGTGAGCCGGGTTCTCCACCGGGTCGGCACAAATCACCATCCTTAATTACAATCTTACATAACTGATTCAGTTTTGTCTTAGTTGGTATGAGACAAACTAAAATGTTTAAGACATAAAATTTCAATCAGAAAGACTTCTGCCCTAAATTAATTTAATATTTGTTAATATTCCGTTACACATTAGACATAATTATTGTCTTCATATGATTGGTTGGACATACAATTTAGGGAGAGAAGATCTTTGCATAAAAACTGTACGGATCACCAAAAATTAGAAGGCTTTACCAACATTATCTCTGCATATTTATGAGTCAGTCTTTCTTCTTTTGTTTGACAACTTTATCTTTGTATGGATCAGCACTGTATGCATACATTTGAAATATTGAGAAAAATATCATCTCCACTATCACCAGTCCATTTTGCATTGCTTGCTGGATATGTGCTACATCTGGCAAGTATTGATGAGACTTTATTACACCCATTGCCACCAAAACACTAAGCAACACTCCCTGCAAATAATAATCTGTTATTAATCTCTGTTTGTTAGCAGCTTAATGAGTTATATGTAGACTGTTTGGTTGTGGCTCAATGATACAGAAAGTGGCTTATTCAGTAAGCTTTTAGGGGGAGCTTTATGTAGAAAGCCAAGTTTTTTTTTTCAAACCTGCATCTCCCAATTAAAGAACATGCTCTTTCCATCTATGAAAAATTTCCAATAAAAACCTTCTCAATCTATACAGACAGATTAATCCACACAGACAACTTTATCTATACATAACTTAATGGAAAACATACCAAACAACCTCTTAAGGAGCGGGCAGTCCAACAAAATCAGCTTTATAGGACACAAAAAATGTCTAAAATGTCCTAATAGACTACTTTATAGGACCAAATAATAAGTTGTTATAACACTTTTGGACGTCCTAATAAGTTTTTTAGGACAATTTTGAATAATGGGTGCTATTAGGTTTTTTTCTAACGAAAAGTTCAAAAAAACCCAAATACTTTATAGGACTTGAGTTTTGAATCGCACACAATATGAAAAGTTCGTTAATTTTTTTCTTCCAGTTTTAACAAGTTCGAGGATTTATTTGTTCAATTTCTGTAACTTAATGATTTATTTGTCAAAAAAAAAAAATCCAGTAATCACTCAAAATTTGAAGTACATTGTTTTTCCCCCTCTTTCCTGTAGCATAATTTAAAAACATGTCTTATAAAACAAATGTCTAGTTAAAAATATTTTTAAGACACTTTTCAAAAGTATCCTATAAAAAAGCTAGTAGCACACTTTATTTCAAAAGTGTCCTAAAAAAACTTGTTAGGATGTCCTAGTACATCCTGTCATCCTATTGTAACCCTTCTACATGCACATTATTTGGTCTTATGAAACAGTTTATTAAGACATTTAGACATTTATGTCGTCCTAAAAACCGATTATGCAGTGAGGTGGTAGTGTTACAAGGGGCTAAGAACTGTACCTGCCAAAAACAGAAGAAGACGATCCCTTTGACACATAAGAACTTGGCAAGAGGATTATGAGGTGCCAATTCTTTAGCAAATACATGGTAGAAGATCATGAGGGCATACAACGCCAATGAAACCGATACATTCAAGATTGTGGTAAATGTCCAGCTAAGCCAATCGGGGTATATCTCAAGGAGTTGAAGAACTATCATCAAGATGGAGCACACAGGTCGAATCACTACGAACTGCCATGTCCAATACTTGAGGAGTTTCAGTTTGTGATGGTTCAGATAGACTGTGCGAGGCTGCAATTTATATAAGCGGTCAGTAATAGTTCCTATCTATGTTCTCTAGTTATATTCAAATGAACATATTTTATCTGCAAATCTTCAAGTGTTTCCTAATCATTATAAGTTGTGTGCCTAATTGAATATTTTCCTTGTTTTGCATGTGATTCTGAAGTAATATTACAACATATATATAATATATACAGGTGACGTTAAGGGAAAAACCGCAAAAAAAATGAAAAACTGAGGAACACTCTAGTAATCGTTCATTTATACGATATGCACATGTGCATACAAGTAACTTTTAAGTAATTTTTCCGGTATGCACATGTGCATGGCATATACACAGGCACCAGGAAGCATCTTTAGTGTATGCACATGTACATACCGTACAAATGAACTGTTATTAGGGTGTTCCTCAGTTTCATATGGGGTTGTCCCGTGAAACTTACTCTATATATATGATGTTAAAACCCCACCTTAGCTAGTTGGATGATTGCTTCTCAATATATATGGGAACCCATTCTCTGGTAAAGGATCTTTTAGAGAATAAACCAATGGGTTCTACATATTTTCACTCTTAGGGTCCCACATCGGCTAGACTTGGACACTATCTCTTCAATATATGCTGGAAACCCCTCTCTCTCCTCAAGGGCTATTTTAGAGAGTAATCTAATGGGGGTTCCACATATTCTCACATGGTAATAAACCAAGGTCTACCATTCGGGGAATCTTTGCCCGGAACTCGACACTCTAGGATATCATTGCCCATCTAGCGTCAGTTGGAGGGGTTATGTCAGAGTCCTATATAGGCTAGGCTTGGACACTATCTCTTCAATATATGTTGGAACCCCTTCTCTCTACAAGGGCTCTTGTCTAACCCCCTCATGACACTCAGGCACAATTTGCACCCGTCTAGCCTCTGTTGGAGGGGGTGTGTTAAAGTCTCTTATCCGATTTCTCCTCAAAATATCTTGAAACATCCCTTCTCTCCTCAAGGCTCTTTTGAAGAGTAATCTAATGAGGTTTCACATTTTCCCACAAACGAAATGAACAAAATTGAGAACTTACTTGGAAAAGAGTCATTGGGAAGGAATGGTGAATGGCTCTTCCCTTGATCTCATCAGGTACTATATTCATGCTCATAGATATATCCAAGTAAGTGTACAGCAAAGCCAAGAACTTAGCCATCACCTGCACATGATAAAACAATAAACGATAAGATTGATCTAATGAGAAGAGTTGATGCATTTCCCACATCTCATATGTTAAAGTGACACAAAAAGGTCTTGGGTTCTCAGTTCTCACCAAACCCTCGTAGCATTCTTTGATGGAGTCGAGTAACTCAAAAAAGGTTTCATTGCCACGAAATACAAGCAATCCCACATAGGAGTCGATAGCATAGATAGGGGCCATGAGGATGATAACTACGATTGCCTTTTGTTCCTTGGGTTTCTTCCAATGAAGAAGATGGTCAATGAGCAACTTCAATGATAAAGTGATCGTAATCATTACACATGCTGCAGAACCAATTAGAATTTGCTCTTTATGGTTCATCTTTAGAGTTCTATCATAAATGTTGCTAGCTGCTTGGAAGCCCAGAACTAGGGATCTGCACGAAATAAAATAGTATATGATGTAATGTTGCACGAACAAAATAGTTGGCGGATAAATGAGCTTGGGTAGAATTCACTCTCAAAAGCTAGCTCAAAGGAGCATGCGTGAGTCACACACAATACATACATATACACACACACATGCGGGAAGTTTCGTTTGATTACGAACCCGGGACCCGCCCACAACGCACCATGTGTCCCTCTTCAAAATGAATATTCATCATGAATAATACATGTAAAATGAATAACAATTCATCATGGATCACACATTCATGACGAATATGGACCTGTTATTCATCATGAATCACACATTCATGATGAATATGTTACAACAATCATGATGAATAACATGTCCAGATTCCTCATGAATATTCCATGTGTCATGCCATGGACAGTTCCCAGGTTCCTAATCATTTTTAGGTTACTAACGGAAGCTGCCCCATATATACATATATCAATCTTGACAACTTGCTGATACGAGACAAATACTACTTCAATAGGTTATGCGACAGAATTTTGGTTTCTTGATCTAATCAACTAGGTCTTCTAGTCTGTTTGGAAGGACCAAAGAAGAACTCATTTTCATTTCATCTAGTGACTGGTTCTCTTCATTCTCATCTTTGATTGCTTTTTAAAACGTCTTTTTAACTGAACTATAGTGGTCTGTGTCTTTTGAACGATTCCGTGTAAAGATGAAAGGTAATCTATGCAATACTATTTTTAGTACCCAAAGCCAATGCAAATGATCGACCCAAATAATCTTCAAACAACTGGAGATTTAAGGTATTGATGGCTTACTTCACAAATGTTACATTGCAGATGGAAACTTCTCAAATCAAGAACTAACAAAATGCAGGCTAGAAAAATGGAAATTGAATTACATCAAGCATATCCTCTTTCCCACACGATTACTCCTAAAAAGTACCGTCAACATTTATAATTCACCCTTCGGCACCAAAAATTAGCCCTCAACACTTCGTTTTTCCAATTTCTTCCCAATTTTGTAACAAATCGAAAATGAAACTAAGATCAAGAGAAATGAATGAATAAGAATTGAAACTAATCGAGACAAAACGCTAATTGAAAACATAGATTCAAAAAAAGGCGGGAAATACCATTAAATCGAAGATATATGAAGTCCGAATCAAGGCGATCCACCGATCATTTTAGAACATTACGTAGGCATTGATAAGTTTAGATGGTGCATCATTGAAATTACAGAGAACGAAACGTTATGTGAATCGTATATCAGTATATGATGGTGTTGCCATTGATGATGACGCGAACCTCCAACGGAGATCGGAAGACGAATGCAAATATTTCTATTTGATGAGTAAATTACAATTTTAGCCCCTATGATTTGCTAATAATTCCCATTTTTGTCCCTATAGTTTAGAAATTGTGATTTAGTTCCTATCATTTACAATATATTGTTTTTTCTTTATCTCCGTATTAAAAGTATCTTCAATAGTTTGCCATCTTTCTCTAAAATAGGGTATTAAACAGGGCCGTTATTTAGCATGTTAAATGCGATATTTTGAATAGGCTCCCTGAATTTTAGGGTTTGAGGCCCAAATTTACATGTGTTTAGGGTTTTTTTTTATCAATCTATGTAAAAGTATAGCCGAAATTACTTATGTTCAAACCATTAATTCTTTGATTTTAGATTCAAATCATTAATGGTTTATGTTTAGCTTCAGATTGTTAATCGTTTTAGGTTTACTCCATTTTTGTTCTTAACATATATTCTATGTTATCTCATTTATGCAATGTAATCAGAAGTTTTAGATGTAACAAAGCCTCCAAAAAGGTTGTAACGTTTGGTATTAAATACCAAAATCTCTAAAAAAATTACATTCAACTCCAACAACTACTCTATTTTAACATAATTGTTGGAGTAAATACAAAGAATCAAAACAATAGAGAATTGTAAACAAATTGACTGAAAAGATAATAAATTATAAACTATAAGAATGAAAATAACAATGAATTATAAATCATAGGAACAAAAACCATAATTTCTCAACCACAAAGACAAAAATCTCAATTTTTAATAAACCATAGGGACAAAAACGTAATTTACTCTATTTTTATTTAACTGGTACGGTACAAATATTTTAATTTAGTTATTTAGATGCATAATTATTTACAAAATTCAATAAATCATATAAATTTATAAATTAATTTTTTTATATATTTATAAATTAATTTTTTTATTTTTATAAATATATAAAAAAATTAATTATTTATACAATGTTGTTTCATATGTAACTCTAAACCGCTATCCAAACAACTTACACTTGATGCAAAACCTTCAAACACTTCGTGCTTTATTTTATATATTCAATCTTCAAATAATTCGTTACAAAACAAGAATCGAATCGATCTTTAAACGATATAAATTTTACGAATACAAAAACCACGTTCGGTTTTGTCTCCACGATCACAACACTCCGTTCAGGGGCGGATTCAAGAAGGCCCCACCGGAATCCCGTATCACCAGCGGACTTGTCCGTCACACTATAAATTCTTCTACGGCTTTTATAACGTCACCATCGTGATTCATTTTGCATAATGTACAAAGAAATCGACCAAAATAACAAATCTCTCCAACCAAATTCACTTTTTAGCATTTTTTTCAATATTATTCCCATTTTAATCGACATAAACTCGATTTTTAAATTAAAAAAAATGAAAAAAGAAAATATTTTATGTAAAGTTGCATAAGCATCCCATTTGCTTAAATTCCAGATAAAATGAGAATTTGGTTCAAAAAATGGCTAAAAAGTGAATTTTGGTCGGAAAGATGGATTATTTTGGTCAATTTCTTTAAATTTTTATATCTGCCACCGACTCCATTCGATCATCTTCCTCGCGGATGTACGAGTTGAGAGAACACGCCACTCGTTGTACCATCCGCCCCGCCATTATTGGTCCTGAAATCGTCCCCATCGATCATACTCACGCTGTTATCAAGCGGTTCGAGTGGGCTCAATACGATCCCCGGGATATGGTTCATGCTGCTATCTTCCGGTTCCAATAGAGCTGAAGACGTCTCTTCGAGCTGCAACGCGTACTCCAACGTCCACAAAACATCGCCCATCGATGGCCGATCGGCACCGTACTCCGCCAAACATTTTTCCGCGGTTTCACCGTATTTCTTCAACGATGCCGGGTTCACCTTCCCGACAAGATTCTGATCCATAATTTGATCCAAATTCCCCCTTTTTTGCCATGTTAGAGCCCATTCGGCGATGTTCACTTGATCTCTCGGAAGAACCGGGTTCAAAGCCGGTCTGGTACACAAGACCTCCATCAGTACGACCCCGAATGAATACACGTCTGATTTCTCCGTCAGTTGTTGTCGTCGGAAGTATTCAGGATCCAGGTACCCGAAACTACCCTTCACGGCGGTGCTGACGTGGGTCTGGTCGAGGGAGGGTCCTGCCTTCGACAGACCGAAGTCAGCAACTTTTGCAACGAAATTCTCGTCCAACAAAATGTTAGTCGTTTTCACATCACGATGAATCACGCATTGTGATGCACCGGTATGGAGATAATGTAGGCCCCTGGCGGCCCCGATACAGATCTCCAACCTTTGCTTCCAGGAAAGCGACGGAAGATCTGTACCGTAAAGATGGCTCCTGAGGGGCCCGTTTGCCATGAACTCGTAAATGAGAATCATTTCTGATCGTTCATCGCAATACCCGATGAGCGAGACGAGATGACGATGCCGTAGCTTCGACAACATCTCAATCTCCGTTCGAAACTCCGCAAGACCTTGTTCCGATCTCGGGTTTCCCCGTTTTACCGCGACAAGGGTCCCGTCTTCCATCGTTCCCTTGTAAACCCGCCCGAAACCACCGACTCCAAGCAACAAACTTTCGTCGAACTTATTCGTCGCCTCCATGATTTCTTGAAAACTAAAGTTCCTTCCGAGATTACACGAAGCCAACGAAATGCAGCTTGCCGTCGTCGACATCTTCGTCATGGTGACGGAATTCCCATACAATGGAAGCGGAAGCCACGGTTTCGTACGATCCGTCTTTTTCGACCCACGACCCGCCTTCCAACAATAACACAAACCCAAAAGAATCACCACCACCACCAACCCGAGAACCGCCGCAACAACAACCCCAATCTTCTTCTTCCGGCTCGCGGGAAAAACAACCAGATCACCCACCACCGAAACCCCATCTAAGCTTCGAGCTCCATTGCTAATCTTCAAGATTTCAAGACCGTTCAGAATCGCGTTGGCTTCATCTGCATCCGCGTCCGGGCCAACACTAACCGACAAAGTATTCGAATTATCCGTCGAATTCACGACGAAATCCTTATACACCGGAACATCCAAATTACCGGTCAAGCTCGAGAGATCCAAACTGGCATAAGCATTATCGGAATTTATATACAAATTGAACACAAGAGTATTCAAAGACGTGCTCACGATATCGCAAAAATGAACCCGAACAAAATACGCAAAATCGGGATCAACCGGAAGAACCCAAGTGACATTAAAGTTCAAATTCGCGACATTCGCATCGCCCATCGTCTGAGCCGTTGCATACACCCAATTCGGCGCTATATCCGGCGTCAAATCATCGGGATACTTCACAAACGAAGGATTTATCGACACATTTGCAGCGGAGCTATTAACATGAAGGTATTTCTCATCGTTTTCCCACGTTCTTCCTAACGTATCATTCTGCGGACTGAGTTTCGGTCCCCCCATGTTCAATCGGTAAACAGTCTCGAACGCAAGCTCCGCCAACCCGTTAACCGGGCTGGACGGAGATAACCCAATAGCTTGATCAGGGATCAAGTTATCGGGAATCGAAACAACTTCAATTGCGTTCACAAACGCGATCGAATTGTTCGACGGGACGAAGTTCAGAAGCAATGTGTTTGAAGTCACATTGATCGAAAACTCTTTCGAAACAAACGAAGAACCGTTGTGGCTTTTGAAACTGTAACTGTTTAAGAGGACAAAGCTTTCAGTGACGACGGTGAACGAGGCCGAATCGAGGTGGTGGCCGGGGATCGGGTAAAAATGGAGTCGGATCCAATGGCGACCTTGTTTTCGGATCTCGAATTCGTAGGAGGAAATGGCGGTGAAAACTCGCGCAGATTGGTGGATCGGTAATGGAACAGTCGAATTCGATTCGATTTCATTCGAATTTTGCGGGGTTTTGAGGTGAAATGATGAATCTGGGACATAAATTTGGCCAAGAAATGTGATATTTTGTGAAGAACCACAAGAAATCAAGTAATTATCATCAGGAATGAATGAAGAAGATGAACTATGAAGATATAAAGAGATAAGAACAAGAAGAACCCTAAACCCTAAATTCAAGAAACTCATTTTCTTGAAAACCCTAAATCCAAAATCCCCAAGTTTAACAGCAATCGAAGCTCACAATCTAATACCCAGAAAATGTAAATGAATCAAGAACACGAACCGAAGAAACCCAGTTCAAGAAACTCGATTTTTAACCCTAAAACACCAAAATTGGATCAAAATGAAGCTGATTAGATCTTCAAAATTCAAGAATCGAAGGAACCCAGTTCAAGAAACTCGATTTTTAACCCTAAATCACCAAAATTGGAGAAAACCGAAGGTGATTAGATGAGTCAAGAACAAGAATGGAAGAAACCCAGTTGAAGAAACTCGATTCTTAACCCTCAAACTCCAAATTGGATCAAAATGAAGCTAATTAGATCTTCAAGAAAACGAACAGTTGGGTGTTTCAATTTGATACCAAAAACCCAATAGAAATCAAGAAAATGGTGTCGAATTCCTGCAAATCTAAATGGGTTTAGGTTTAATTTGAATGTGAGGACGCCATGAATGATCTCCATTGATAAAGGTGGAAGGTTTAGAGTGAAGTTTAGAGTCACAGCTCTTTCCAGGCTGCCATAAGAACAGGGTGGTGGGCCCACAAACAATCTGGAAGAAAATCTATGATTCAATCAAAACAGCTGGTATCAAATCATTTACAAGTGATTTCATTTAATTGATATCTTTGATTTGGGTGACTATTCTATTAATATGGAAGCCACCATGAAACTTCTGCAAATCACGTGCTTTTGTTTGTTATATGCATATAGTAAACTACGATTTTAGTCCCTGTGGTTTGGTATTTATAACGATTTTAGTCCCTGTGGTTTAAAAACTGTTTATTTCATTTCTATAGAGTATAGACTATGGTTAGTATTTCATTTCGTTTTTCCTTTCATCCTAATAAAGTTAAGAAATTCCGTTAAGTGAATTATTTTCCTTTTTTTTTGTAATGAATAAAGATAAAGGACCAAATTTGTAAAACTTGACATATAAGGACCAAATTCGTGATATTATATTATCTATAATATATTATAAAAAATTGACAAAAACTCTTAAAAACCATTTTATAAAAAAATTATATTAAAATCTAAAATATAATTAAGATAATTATCGAGTTCCAATAAAATAATTAACTATTATTTTTATAAGAAAATTATATTATTAAATTAAATATAAATTACTTTGTTATTGAACCTAAATTAAATTATAATAAAAAACCGAATTAAAAAATTTTAAATAGTTAATTTGATACTAATATCGATATAATTTTATCAAATTTTTATGATGTTTTTAAATTTATATTTTATTCAAAAATAAAAACATCATCGTTTTTTCAAAATCACATAAAATCATATTATAACATCGATTGAGATAAAGAATAAAATGAAATGTTAAAATCAAGATGTATTTCGCTGCATTGCGCGAGTACCCTTCTAGTTACATATAATAAATACATGTTTTTTCAATTATTTTTTTAATTTTCTTTAAATCAAACCCTAACTGAAAATCAAGAACAAGAATCATAACTTAAAATAAAAGTCAATTAAAAGTCGTAACTCAAAATCAAGAACGATCCAATTTATCCAAAATCCGAACTCAAAATCTCCATCATTGTGTTGGTTTTAACACATATTAAAAGTTAGGGGTGAGCAGCAGAACCGGGTACCCGGCTATGTAACCGGAACTGCCTTGGAACCGCCGGTTCCAGAACCGGAACCGATATGAGTGGTTCCGGTTCTGGTTCTTAAAATACGGAACCGATTGAGAATGGTTCCGATTCCGATTCTCAATTTTTCGGAACCGTTACCCGCCGGGTACCCGGTATTTTTAAATAATTTTTTTTTAGTACCAAATTTATATTAGGTTTACATCTTGAAAGCACGTCGTCATCTTCATTCTTCATCTAAATTCTTCATATAGAATGATTCGTATTTTTTTAAATTGTGTGTTCACTTGGATTCATAGTATATAATCGTTAAACTTTGAAAATTTACCATTATAGTATGTAATCGTTAAACTTTGAACATTTTCTATTAGTCTATTATGGTTTGTAATYATTAAACAATATTTGTAACCATTATTATATATAATTTGTATTCTTGCTTATTTATTTAGTGTTTTGGCAACGTTTTATTTTTTATTTCTAAATAACAAAATTTTAATATTTTAGGAAGCGGGTAACCGGAACCGGAACCGGTTCCCGGCGGTTCCGGTTCCAGTTCCAAAAATTTAAGAACCGCTCTAACCGGTTCCGGTTCCAATATCTCAAGAACCGCCGGTTCCGGTTCCTGTAAAAAAGGGCGGGTACCCGCCTATGCTCACCCCTATTAAAAGTGATTAATCAATTTGTATCATTGTTGAAGAATTGGACTGAATTAACATACTGGATCGATCCAATCCCAATGGATCATTCATTGGATATCCAATAAATGAAACCTAACTGACCCAATCATCCATATTAATCGGATCGGACCGGTTGCCAAAATCCAACATCCAATGGATGATTAGGTCGGTTCGGTTCCCCTCACATCCAATAGATGTCAACCGATGAACAACCCTAATTTAGACCAATAAACAGAAAGAATATGTATATTCAAACAAAATAAATATTATATTAAAATACAACGTATTTTAATGCTCGAGTAAGATGTTATATTTTCGGTGGCATTCAGACCAGACCTCGTTATTGTGTGTCCAACTCGTTACCTGTTTTTCACTCGGATTAAAAAGCTATACATTTGACATGTTACCTAACTTTCGTAGCTACCTTTTTTGTCACATGCAATTTATCCATAAATCATTGAACATCGTTTTTTACAGCCCCACACAATATTGTTATTGATTTAATAAAAGGACGGGGGCCGGCGGGGGCCGCATCAACACGACTTGTTAGTTGACGGCGTTTGAAAAGGACCGTTTCTTTACAGCAGATCGTTGTTGGCTTCTTTGTTTTTTTCTTCGAAATAACTGGTTTATCGTTTATGCATGTTATCTGTATATTTAACACATTAAATGAGTTTGAAATCAAAAATCACCGAATCAGTAACTACACAACCTTTTAAGCTTTGGGGTCCATTTGGTTTGCTGGATTTCATGGGATCTGGAACTGAAATCTATTATAATTCTGTGTTTGGTTTAAAGAAAAGTCCGGAATTGGAATCTTGGGATTTTACTGAAACTCTATAAATGCTGGGTTTTAGAAATCCTACTGAAGATGGTTGGTATTTCATAAGATTTGTTTGTAATAATATTTTTAAATATGTTAAAAAGAATTGTTTTCTAATAAATAAAGTAATTAGGATTGCAAATGAACTGAATGTTCAGCGAACCGTTCGACGGGAAGTTCGTTTATTTAATAAATGAACAATTTTTTTTGTTCTTTTATGTTAAACGGACGAAGATGAACAAAAGTTTCGTTCGTTCATTTATGTTATCATGGACGTTCGTTTATATATTAAATTTAATGTATAATCTTTTATTTATCTGATTTGAATTCAAATAATATTTATTTAAGTTTTAACTTTTTAGGATTTATTTAGATTCAATTTTATCATCATTTTGTCTTATTTGAAAATTTTACCTTTTATCGTTTATGTTCGTTTAGATCTGTTTGTTTATGTTCGTTTAGCCCGTTCGTTTATGTTCGTTTGTTTAGCATGTTAACGAACGAACATAAACGGACACGAACACACCTGATTTCTAAACGAACGAACACAAACACAAAGATTTTCGTTCGTTTACTGTTTGTGTTTGTTATTTGTTCGGTTAAATTAAACAAATAAATATAAGCAAACTTTTATTCATGTTCGTTCGGTTCGTTTATAACCTGTTAAGATCCGAAGACTTGAACAACAGCGTTGGTGGCGGAGATTGAGGAGGACTTTTGGTCAAACTCCGTCCGCCAATAAAAAGCCAAGGATCATCATCCCTTTTTCTGTCAAATATCACAATAAATTTAAATAATTATTTTAATATTATTTTATATATTTTATTTTATTAAAATAAATATTTAATTTTTAAATATACCTGTTTAATACATCGAGATTGTTCGAAAGCTTAAAAGAGGTATTTGGTTTGGTTTTGAAGGATTTTAAATTAAAATGATTTAGATTCAGAATGATTTAAATCTTTGGTGTATTTGGATAGTAGGATTTGCGATGAGGGTTGGGTTCATGTGAGACAAAGTTGTTTTTGTGAGACACGATTTTTACACTTGAAACTTTACAACAAAATGTTGTGAAGGTAAAAAAATGGTCGAATCCTTGTAGCAAAAACACTGTGAAAGTCACCTTCACGGTGTTTTGCTGTGAACTTTCAAGTGTAAAAATCGTGTCTCACGAAAACAGTCTTGTCTCACATGATCCCAAGTAGGGATGCTCAAAAACCCAATCAACCCAACCTAACACGAAATAACTTAACCCGAAGCAACCCGATGTCTAATCGAGTTGTAAAATTTTCAAACCGTATGTATTGAGTTGATATTGGGTTACTATTATTTGAACTCAACCTAACCCGATGTACCTGATATTCTTTTATTTCTTAGATTTAATATGATTGTTGAAATTCTATAATATATACATTAGACAATTATACTATCACGTACGCTTTTCATATATATATATATATATATATATATATATATATATATTCAATCTATTCACATCTTTATATAACTCATTCGTATATATGTTCAATAGCTGTGAACATATATATGTAAATTAAGAAAATTAACTGAATGTGATGTACGTAAGAAATATGAATAAATTGTATCAAATGGTTGATGATGAAAAAAAAAAATTATGAGTAGAGAAATAACATATTCAAGGTTAGAAGAATACTTTAAGAACAACATTTTACTAAAAAAAACTGAATTTTATTTAATATAGATTAAATTTTGGAAAAAAGATAAATCTACAAAATCTATCGATCAGTTTTATTTAGTTCAAACATTAAGTTTTAAAAACTTTAGCTTAGAGTTTTAGATTATAAGATAGTTGTATTAATAAATGTACATGATATTTATATTTTATACTAAACTAGAAGGGTATTCACACAATGCAGTCAGATACATATCGATTTTAATATTTTGTTTTATTCTTTATTTCCATCGATATTATAAAACGATTTTATATGGTTTTAAGAAATCAATAATGTTTTTATTTTTTTAATAAAATATAAATTTTAAAATATCATAAAAATCTGAAATAAAAATATATTAATATTATTGTCAAGTTAACTATTCAAAAGTTCTCATTTTCTGCATAATTTATTTAATTCAACTTTTTATTATAATTTAATTTGAATTTAATAAAGAAGTAATTTATTATTGGTTTAATCATATAATTTTTTATAAATATAATAATTAAACATTCTGTTAGAACTTAATGATTAGCCTAATTATATTTTATATTTTTTATATTTAAAATAAGATATTTATCTTGTATTTGATTATGTTTACATGCTAGTTACACGAATTCAAACACGAAACTTTAATAAGTTATATTTACACACAATCTATTTATAATCTTAAATTGTAAGTAATGTGAATCAATAAACAATATTTTATGCATAAAAAATGAGTTTTAAAATTTTTTCTCCAATATTTTATAATATAGTCATCCACTCAGACAACCCAACGGCCATCATTGGGAAGGTAAAACCGTATGTCCCTATAGGTAGGTGAGTGGCGCGTGGTATCTGAAGTCAAACTCCAGACTTTCCGCTCATACTGCAATAATATCCACCACCTTAACTGTTAATCTAAAACAAGCATGTAAACAAAGTCACAAGCATTTTTAAGGTGTAGGACTTTAGGTTTAATAATACAAAGTTGGGATCAATAACATATAACACAAAGAGGATGAGGATAACAATGCTTGTCCACAAGTCAACCGGTAGCAAGTATCTTCTCCGCCAGTCTCAGCCGTTGAGTCAGCTCTGAAATGCCTCCTCGCATTTGGTTCCTATAAGATGGGTTCCGTATAGGACCGGTTGGGATTGTCGGTAATCGACTTGTTGTTCAAATTGGTAGCAAGTTTCAGTATGCATCTATACATGCACCATGGCAATTGGCATATGACCTAACCTACCACTACCACCTCATAATTTGGACACAGGAATATTATGTGAATACTACAAAACTCATCATTTGATCTCTATACCAGTTTCCGGTCACCGGAAAACGCCAAATCTTGTTTATGTATTAGGCCGGAATGCAGAAAGAGGAGCTCAGAGGTGGAGGGAAGACACAGACCAAATGGGGTCCAGCCGGGTTGCAACTAATATTTGCGTCACCGATGTTTGGTAACTCGAGTTGTGGAGGCCGTACGTATCCGGCAGCCAGTGGTATGCATAGTATTGAAATCTCGATTCTTGACCCTATTCAGGTAGACATCTATCAGCATTTACATAATTATGCAACAATTGGCCCACATTCATCGGTTAGTGAAGGGTCGTTTACCAGCAAGAGCACCACCCTTGCTTACCTTATCGGGCAACATTCTCAGTCATCAAAATGGATCGTTGGTAAGCATCTTTTACCCGGTAAGCGCTTATGAGGTAAGAGTTTTCATCCTCCCTTACCGGTTAAGATTCTCGGTCTTTGCTATGCCTCTTACTTACTGGGTAAGATTCTAGGTCCTTGTCATGCTCACCCGGAAGGTAAGTAACACATAGTAAGTGCTTACCTGGTAAACATTTGGTAAACGGCCCCTAAGTTTCAATAATACGCTCATTAAGGAACTGTTCACTAAACGCTTATGTGCTTATAGGGTGTCATTTCACTTACCTTATTTAGTGAACATGGCAAGTACTTAGAATCTTACACGGTAAAAGGCATAGCAATGACCGAGAATCTTACCCGGTAAATGAGGGAGAAGACTCTTACCTAGTAAGCGCTTATCAGAGAAGATGCTAACCGACAATCCATTTTGATGAGCGAGAATGTTACTCAATAAGGTGAAGGAGGGTGGTGACTTTTACCAGCAACGTTAAACACTTGCCAGGTAAGTGTTCGTTCGGTAAACGACCTCTAAGAAAAAAATATGAAAGAAAACCAAGCAGGGATACAACGCAAGTTCAAATAAGAACATGGGAACCAACTATTAATGATGAATATCGTGATAGATATGTATCACAAAATTATTCATGATGAAAATGCATGATATTCATGATGGATGATGTTCATGAATGTGTAGGGTTATTCATCATGAATAATACATGAAATAGTTGGTTCCTAGGTTCTCAAAATATTTACGGTTTCCATTTGAACTTTTAAGCCAGGAAAAATTGTCTGTATGTAATGTTGTTGTCCAGCTTACAATCCAAATCAAGGCCTTATCCAGCAGTACATCACAAAGAACAAACAGGGAGAGGGAGAAAGGGAGACAGGGGTGGGGTTGCATTTACGCACCTTGCTTCGCGGAGAGAGGTACATGACCTCGTTTCCTCCCAGCAATCATCCAATTCTCAGAATTTGCGTTCACTTCATATAGTACTTCATCCTATTGCAAATCAAATAGATGATTCGGGTAATGTACAACAGAAAATCCAAGCACATAGCACCTACAGGAATGCGATAGAATACCCTTTTTTCTCTTTGCCTACTAAATTTGGATTATAAATAACATATATCAAGAAATTATTGTGGTTTTTATGTTCCCACATCATGAACATTTTAGGAAGAATAGTGTTGTCCATTAGGGTGCATTTGGTATGCGGACAGGACGGGACTGAATGGGCAGGACAAACAAGAGTAAGGTAGGCGGGTGAAAGAATTGTAGAAGGTTTTAGGGTTTTAATCTAACATGGGTAGTTTAATAATTGCAATGCTTCCACCAATTCGTTTTACCTATACTAGAAGGAAGCCCCAGCAAAAGAAGGTTGGGGACGTGGTCACATGTGATGGGGAATAAGGCAGTAGTTAGTTTTGGCAGTAGGGGATTATTCCTGAGGGCATTGATGGAATTTTACTTACTATTTCTGTTATACGTCATGTTAAATAGAAGGTCGGGTGAGGAGGAGAGGTAGGCAGAAATTGTTTTTGATTTGGGAGACCCCTAGCTTCTCAAATTGTCAGTTACTTTTCTTTCCAGTTAATGTAAGCTTTCAGCAACCCTTGATTACCATTCCTTTCTTTATTTTCTGGTTCATAACAGTAATTTACCGATCTCGTCCCATCTCCCAGATTTTTGGTGGGACAAAAAAATGCATTTTTGTCCAACTCAATCCCGTCCTTTCGCAGTCTAATGTAGCCCCAAACATGGGAGTTGGGAAAACAAGTTTTTGTTCTATCATGTCCCGTGTACCAAAAGCACTAAATCTGGCAAGATTGTCGCCCTCAAGATTCTGTAATATATAAGTTCGTGATTCTAATTCCGTTGATGGTGAAATCCTAAGATAATTTAGAACATTAAGAAGTTGGGAAACCTTACATTGTTTTCCTCCTCGAGATACTTCAACCTTTCAACTCGCCACTTCATTGTAAAAAGCTGTCCGACTCTAAGACCATCGGAAGGAAGAGGAAGAAAACCAACTGCTAAGCAAGGTTCCAGCACCGGTCGTTGTAAAACAAGAGCACTCCTGAATGTCAACAACTGTGTGGCATCATCCTCAGCTCCATTGGATCCCACACACATGGGGGTATGAGATCCAAGACTTCTCTCCCCAGCAATTCTGTATCTAATGTTTAATATGGTGTCTGGATTCAGCACTTTAGCTTCATCTGTAAAACAGACATGTGGATCACTTGTTTGTAGGTAAGTGCTTTTGAAAATGAAAAATAATGCTGCCCATTTGTGCTCATATGGGTTTATAACGATAGTAAATGGACCCCATCTTCACCTGATCCATAATGTGGCATGCACAAAATCATTTTAAAAACACAATAAAAATAAATTATCAAAAAACCATGCCAAAAGTAGAAGAAACTACAGTTCTGCAACTCCATTGTGGTGGAAGCACAATTGGGATAAATGGCATTTCATAAGTTTCAAACTTAATAGGGGAATAGAAATGATAATCCCATCTTTGTTTTCCCATAGGTCTATCGGCAAATATCAAATTCTTCAAAAGTCCCAATAGAAGGAAGGGAGAATCATCTCTCACCATGCGTAGCCATAAAATTATTATGCATATATATATATAATATAGAGTGAGGTTCAGGGGAAAACCGCCAAAAAAATAAAAAACTAAGAAACACCCTAATAATCGTTCATTTGTACGGTATGTACATGTGCATACAAGTAACCGAAGATGTTTGCTGATTTCTATGCATGTGTGCATGTTATGCACATGTGCATATTGGAAAAATTACTTACAGATTACTTGTATGGACATGTGCATACCGTACAGTTGAATGAAATATATATATAATATATAGAAGCAAACACTAATAACATCTCACTTGTATTTACTTTGTGGATAAACCTATTTGATACCCGCTAAAATAGACAAGTACTCTTAAGACTAACAGATATTAACAAGTCACGGTTCTTGCAAGGATCACCACCCAAGTACAATATTACTTCCAAGGAACCTGCTACAAGGTGGGCAACTAATTAGCCTTTCTTCCAATGCAATTAAGTGAAGCCATGAGTTTTTTCTTCCAGTTTTTTTATTTGGTATTCTACATTCTCTCTTTCATAAGTAAACCACTTTCACCTTATGTCTTAATAACTTAAGCCAAAGAAGTGTAAATGAGCAAGAAACAGGGAAGAACCATGTTGGTTTTGCTGTAGGATTTTCAATTTTCTTGTTACAATAAGGATTTTTCTTATAATGAGCAAGAAATACTGCCGCCGCCACGCCATTACTGCCGCTGTCACAGTTGCCACCCACCCCCCACAAACACCACCGCCACCACCACCACCACCACCACGCCGCTACTGTCACTGTCACAGCTGCCACCCACCCACCTCACCCCCACAAACCGCCGCCGCCACCACCACAACGCTATTTCCCCGTCACAGCTGCCAGCCTGCCACCCACCACCAACCCCCATAAACCACGTCACTACTGGAGTGTAATTAAGCAACCTTGCAGAATTTTCCTACCGTCAAGTGATAATGTGCATCATGAGCATGTCATCATTTGTAGAGTGAACTTCTATCAATCAATCATTCACCGGAAAGACTGAAATAAAAGAGCCACTCAACCTTGCTAATCTATGGGGGAATCTTAAAGGTTAAAAGAGTCGACTTATTCTGAAACAGTATAAAAAAATATTTCACATTGTAGTGTCCATACTCCATGAAAGACCACAATTATATTACATAACACATAATACCAAAAGGAGGTATTACCTTCAGGGGTTGTAGTTCCCAGGGATATACTGAACAAGATTCCTGCTCTAGATGCCGAGGGAACTACAAGAGGAAAGAAGGCAGACGTCGGTCTCCCATCACCCCGACCACCATGAGCAAACCCATCCTGTAGATCTAGCCAAGCATCATGAATGGTTAAAGAGGCCTTCACTTGTGAGTGTAGTATGACCTGTAAAGGTGGAGCCTCAAACAATTAAGTGGCATTTATATATAAGAAAACAACCTAAACTCCGATGATGGTGAACTGTCAATAACAGTCAATTTATCTTTAGAGAACTCAATAGAAAAGAAAATAAGTTACTCAGGAATCTAGAAATTCTTAGGTGGATTTTTAGAATTTAAGGTTTCTGATTGCTCATTTGGTTAAATTTGTTTGTATTCCAAGTCAACAAATCACAGCTCCCAAACATAACCTCAATAGAGTATCAGGATGGGCTCAGAAAAGTAGGATGTCTCAAAATGCAATTTCAATTCACTTGGTGAAGTTTGCTAGATGTAGCCTGATAAGAATAGCGTGTAATAGTTTACTTTAATTTAACTACAACCAGCTCCATTCAGTTCAGATAAATGTTATCGACCGGCTTAATAGTGTGAATCAAACATGTTCATGGAAAGAAAAAACTAGGCCAAATTGCATTCAATCAAAGTAAATGGATGGGGAAACAAAGGACAATGACCGGAACCTCTAGCAATTCGAGAGTGCTAGACTCTCCCAAAAGAACTCACTAAAATTTCTGCATGCCTCCCTACAACCAGACCCACTAACTTATACTACTTGCATAATAGGATTATTCTAGGTACAACCCAAAGACCCTTCTGCTAACAGAATAATTCCCCACAAATACTAAAACACCCTTCTAACCTCTTCTAGAATCTATAAGGTACTGATGGGCCTAGGCTTGGGTCAATGCATAACAACAAACCAACCTTGCATAAAGTACTAACTAATAAAATAAAGCAACTACAACTGCATGTAAGCAGATGAGTGGCACAGAAGTCTTAAGAGCAATATACCTGCAAAAGCAAAGTGCCATCACTGCACTTGTCTGCTACACGTGTGCTCACATGGAATGGGTTGGTGAAATGAACGGCTATAGTCCTACAAATAGTGGCAAGTAGGATAACGAATTTACTACATTTAGGACTGCAAATTGCATTGGAATCTGAAAGGACAAGAGAAGGCAATCAAACCTTTCAAATATCTGATTGTGTGATACGCCGAATTCAAGTTTCAGAGCTACTGTCCTCAGTCCATCCACAACACTTGGTCGTTGGGAAGAAACCGTCCCTAATGGACATGTCAACGTATTATCAGGCAAATAAAATACAATGTAATGAAAAGAGAATTTGCATAGAGCCTCTGATAATAACAAAAAATAAACCTGCAGGTGTTCCTCTTGCTAGGCCATCATTGATGGCACGAACAGGAATCCATAAAACGCTCACTATATGGCTTGCCCAGTCCGGCAACTCTATGCTCCCATCCTTTAACGTTAGTTGAGTAAATTCTTTGACAACAGAAGCATTATTTCTATCACCATCTCTGTCCTCTAACCCATCTGCATTTTTTGATGTACTGGTATATGTCTCCATTTCAATGGCATGTGACACTTCAATCCTCAACCCAGGACCAGTATCGATGTGTAGAACAGCTCCTTTGAGGGAATAATTGAGTGGTTTTACAATTATCCCCACCCACTGAGGCTCATTCATTAATAACGCAGATGAGACTGCTGCAGCAAGATCAACAAGAGACCTTGGTTTGAACACCTAAAGTTGTAACAAACCACAAATAAACAGAGCTTAGCCAATTATAAGTTCATAACAATATAACATGCTATATTGAAATACTTCCTACACAGATTCTACTAGAAAACCAGAAATGAAAATGTCAAATTTCCAGGGCGGTAACCACAAGGGTGGTGCCTGATTGGTTTGAGCTTGGCTCCAAAGGTCAAAAGTACCAGGGCGTCCCAGGTTCAAATCCAAGGAGGAATAAAAATCCCCTTGTGGTCACGGAGGTTCAAATGCGGTGACTCCGGGCTATCTGCAAAGCAGGTGGTCGCCCTGGGATTAGTCAGCTCGCATAGCGGGTTGGATATCCAGGTTAATCAAAAAAAAAATTCCCAGGGTGATCATCATTATCAGTAAAATTGATGATTTAGTTTCCTTATCTGCACTATAAGAATAGGATTACTACCTTCAGAACTGGTCTTGTTGGCTTCTCATAACTCATAAGATCATCACTTTCTGCAGGACCACCTCTGGCAGAACCATGAGACCTAAATCGTAAATGACCAATCTGCCCTGTAAGAACACCCAAGACGTAGGAACCAGTTTTCTGAGGGGGCAAGGAGAGCGTAATTGTATTTCTACCAGGGTTTAGTATTGTAGCACCAGAGCTCCTGATTGCCTAAATATTTGAAGAAATACAAAAAATGCAGAATCAATGACAAAAGACATTCCCATTTATTGCTGAAGTTTTGAACTGCATAGCAATCAGTTGAACAAACAAGAACACAAAAATACCTTAACACCTTCATCGGCATTGCTGGTAGCTGTCAAAGTGAGACTGAGTGATTCAAGAGTTATGTCATCAGGAAAGCCACTCCATAAAGTTACAGACAAGATACCCGGATCCCCATCACATAGTTCCAGAGGTGGTCCAGAATTGCCAGAAAATGTAATTAATGAGGAGACATCTAGAGGCACAGGGTGCTCCATTTCACTGTGAGCAAGACGAACAACTTCTGACTGAAAAGCTTGACGTTCTTTCGTCAAGAATAAGCCCTTATCAAGGGAGAGTAATCTCACACAAGATGATAGGTAGCCAGCTTGATCATTAAGTATCTTCTGGCACTCCGCTAGATTAGGAAGCACATCAGCCAACAAATCCTCCCAACCTTCACCGGAATAAAGAGCACAAACCTTCTCATATGACTTTGCAGCTAGATCATAGTTACCATGCTTAAAGCAAACAGCAGCAATTTCGCCATCAAGGACAACCCCATGTCTTTTCCACCACGAATGATGATAATTATCAGCAGCAGCCTTTGACAGTTCCAGATATTTTCGCTGATGGAAACACGAATGAAGTGAGAAGAGCAAAGAAATAGCATGCATCCAACAAATTATTAGAAGGCTCATAAAGAAGCTACATGGTTTAAATTAAACAGCGAAAAGCTATACTAAAAAATAACTAAGTTAAGCCCAAACTTCATATAAGCATATAATATTGAAGTTAATCGTTATTTTTGTGTATTAGTTTGACTCCTATGACAGTATACCGGTATAGTAAAAAGTTCAAGTGAAAAGAAATGGATAATGGAGATGACGGCATGATGATGCCATCTGTTTGACTAAAATGTCTCAAGTTACATGATAGAATTTGCTTCAGTACTGAGCTGTGCAATATACCTCAAACTCCTCTAAAGATGAAAATGATGTCCATAAACCAGGATCAGAAATTGTCTTCTGGAGAGCATGCTCAGCGGCAACAAAGATTTCTGTAAGTGTCATGGGACGATCAATCGAGCTCTCAAAATTTCCCGGTGTGGAATTGGTCCTTGGCATGGATATAGGATGTAACTTGGGAGAAGGAGACGTTCTTGCATCTGAACCTGAGCTGGTGGCATATGACAAGTGGATCAGAGTAGTATTTCAACACATATAACAAACTAATGGGAAACTGAATAGCGTGATCAGCCAATCATACATGTAAATAAATAATATGTGTGTATAAAAGAAGAATGTTTTGGGTCTTTATAGAGAGAAGGGACTGTTACAAGCTATTTCTCTTTGAAGGCAACTTTTATGAATCAATTATGATGATACTATTGCTCAGCTAGAGCTTCTAATGTTGCTTAACAAATACTTTCGATATATCAGCTTTTTCTATTGTGCAGGTACATTGTTGCCAAATCATAGTTCTTAAATACTCAATAAATGAAACCATCCAAAAAGCCTTAAAGCTAGGAAAACAGAGAAGATAAATTGCTCACCTTTCTCAAACTCTATTGACCAGACACATATCAGATGGTGGTACTAAAACCAGAAAGCGTTTAGTGTGTAAAGTATGTGCACTGAAGTAGATAATATGAAAGCTTAATTTGGGAAGGATGGAGTAGCGAAATACAAACACATAGTCTACTTTGCAAATACCAGGTATCTTAAGCATTAGCATCCTTTATTGGTCTGACAACCTATTAAACGTACATCTGATTTTTTTTTTTCACCCAGAGTAGGAAATGATTTTGATACAAGTTTCTCTGTTTCTCAATACAGTTGAAGAGTGAATTTCCATATGCTATTTGTGTTGAGAAAAAGTACAGTTGAATAGTGAATGTTCATATTCAACGCCCTGAAAATGAAAATCTCAAAATTTTAAAGTGTAGCAGTACATTTTTTCATACCCATCCATAAAAGTTGAGCGCCCATCAAACAGTTCAAACACATTTCCTGCAGAAAGAGAAGCTCTTCGGCGGTTAGCCTCCCGCAGAAGAGAAGCAGGCTCAAGAGGTAGCAGCTTCCTCTGGATACCAAAATGCTTTACCCTTGGTGTAACTTGAAGAATCATCTATAATATAGTATCACTAAGGTCAAATATTACTAAGGCAACAGCAATTTATAAGTGCAATGTTAGATCAAAAATAGAAATGACAATCAGACAACTAAGACGATGCTTACTGGCATATCATTCAGTTGTTATGCTGCATGATTGTCATGCTAAGTTCACTAACAAGAGCAGCCATTTATAATGATGCATCACCAAGTGTAATTGTTTTCACCCCCCCCCCCCTTCTACAAACTGTTTGTTTTTCCTCCCCCCTTTGGCTCACAAGATGGGAAGCTACCAGAGGTTCCCATACGCATAAAAGAGCCTATTCCCTTTATTTATTTATGTATATTTTTTTTCTTCTTTCTTGAAAGGAAACATAATATCAGATACAGATACATACCTTTTCTTTAGCAAGAACTTCAGATGACACATCAGAGGGAATGGAAGGCCAGATTGCTGGCTTAGGCCAAGGTAGCATGCTAAGTGAAGCACTGTACAAAAAGGAACTTACTTCTCTACGGCAATGGAGAATAAACTTGAAGTTATTTAACATGTTAAAAGTTGAATGCCTACCTGTTGACAGGACTTCTTTCTATGGCAGACCCATAACCAAGTAAATATGCAAGCCTCATGAACTGCCAATTTAGTGAACGCACTTCATTAGTTAATATTTATTTGAAAGATGTAACTTAAAAACCTCAACAAATGAATGTCAGATTATTTAAAACATAAGAGTTTCCCATAGAAAGTATTTGCTTCCCATAACATGATAGTATGAGAATCAAATAAATAATTATAATTTGTTACTTCCACAAACCACCGAATTGGCTCACTTGGGCCCAATCCATAAATTACTAAACTTTGACAAGAAAAAGTAGGTTGCCAATGGTGTTCCATACTTCACCTTAGCTCGGCATAGAGAATATAGTTCCCCACGTACGCGATAATATTCTTTTTCTATCTCTGGTCCCACAAGTCCATTTCTATAATGAGCAGCAGTTGCATTGACTAAACTCAAGCAAGAAGTTATAATCCAAACTTCCCGTATACAGAAGGGTAAAATACTCTGGTGAGGAAGCCACAGACAACAGACAAAAAGAATAATCAGAAAAAAATGAAGTGAGCAGTTTAGAGGATACAAACTATTACTCCAAGATAAACCAAACGCTATTACCAAATAGCACAGAAAATGGACACTGAAGTGAATGCCAGACCTCATGAAGGGCCAATGCTTTTGAGAAGCTAATTACAAATGAAAACCCCCTTGATGCAACCTCAAAAGGACGGTTTAGCTTGAACAATAGCTGCAAAAGGTTATCCCATCAGTGGAAGCACTGTAGAAATGATTCCAATTAAAAAGATTGAACTAATACATATAGAAGTACATAAAATAGAGGTGTTTAAAATAACAGCTTACATATTCCTGGCAATAGGTTAAAAGGCATTATGCATGAGATTTCTCCTATAATCCTATTAGAAAGTAACAGCATATTCCGAAGTGGTTGATGTTAGTATAGCAACTGAATCTTTTAATGGACATGGGAACTCTTGATGTGTATTCTTGTGTATTTAAGACTAAATTGATGTAGTTTATAACTTCCATTAAGGATGAGGTTATTCAAATTCACCATTAATGCGCTATCAATAATATACTGAACACATTGCAACATATGCCATTTTTGTTTCTAACATCCATACAAGACAACCGGATAAAGCATAAACATCACTAACAACCCAATTACAAAATAAATGGTCAGATTTAACCTGATTACAAAGCAAGCTAAAGCAAAATATCTAGATTACCTTTGCTTGACAAGCAAAAAGATATTGTCGAAATTCAAACTCCCTAAAGGAATCATCTTGAACAATCTGTGTTAGTGGCTTTTTTCCAGGGTTTAATAGTGCATCCTGATCATCTCCATGTTCCATTCCTCCGAAGTCCCTTTGTTTGCCTGCTATGTTAACTAATTGAACACAAAGTAACAAAGTTAACAAGATTGCTTGAAAACCTTAACATACGATGAAAAACAACTTCCATCAAAAGAAAAGAATGATGGATGAATTTGGTGGTACATAGTTTACAGGGAGTACAAGTCACACATCCAACCGTTGCAGTCAGGCAAGTATTTCAGAACTTTAGCTTCCATTATAATTGTATGATATTCTTTTTCCTGATTCACTACCCTTGTTTTAAACAGAAGAAATTTGGTAATTGCAGTAAAATATAATAATATAATATCAGTCAGAAATATGATATCCATGCCTACCCTTGTTGGTGGCAAATATTTCATATTATTCGATAGACAGAGACATGATACATAAAAGATAATCATTAACACCTGTTTCTAGGTAGCAGAGCTCAAGTTCATCATATTCCCTCAGCGAGTCCTCGTGGAGATGAGCCATCTCAAACATGAATGCCAGACTTTCCTATATTTACAGTAACAATTTAGAAAAAAAAAACCAAGAACATTCACGACAAGCAAACTTCTAAACAGTTACGTAATTATTATATGTGGAGGGCATAAAAGGGTTCTGACACTTGTGAGCCTCTGTGTAAGCAAGCAATACCAGGCTATCTATAAGTTTTCTGACTTTCTCCAATTAGGAGACTGCTACAATAGAAATATGTCGAAGTTTGAAAAGAAAGTAAAGTATTGAACCAGTACAAGTAATAATCAATAATACCTTGCAGTTGTTCAAGAATTCTAACATCAATAATCGTTCAAACAGTGTTCCATTTATCAACAAATATAAAACCTCAAGAACATAAAGAGTTGGCTACCTTCAGAATGAAGAAGTTACAGAAGCTCCAAACTGGCTTGAAACGTTGTTCACTGAGCTTACGGATCTCCTCCTCATAAAACTGGATACGTCTATCAAGAGTGTTTCGAATGCACTCCGTGATTTTGGATTCCAAGTCTTCCCAGAAAGCTGCTTCAGGTCCGTGTATATCCAATTTGCAGCACCTGCAAGAAGGACAATTTGTCTTCTGTTAGAGCTTTATACACAATATGGCAGTGGCATTCAGGTAAAATAGTCATGCACATAAATGAGAACAAGTGATCCAAAAATAGTAGGCCGGCACAGTAGCTAAGGTCAATAAGGTAAAAGAGGACATCAGAGAACATAGCGATAACACCAATAACAACAAAATGACTGCACAAGTAAGAAGTCTCACTTTAACTAAGACACAATATATCCTAGGAGTATATTTATTTCATGGTCCACAATTACTTGACTATACACTCTCAAGCACGAATGTCGGGAAAGTGATTGACAATTACATCCATAACTCGCATGACCTTTGTTAGAAACACAACCGTGCTCATTTTTTTATGCATGATGATAACTGAACAGGCGAGTATGCTCTTGTAATATTTTTATCAGGTGTTATGAAATGAAAAAATAGCAAGTTACTCAGGATGCTTCATCAATTTAGGTAACTTTACCTTTCCCTTTTCTTTGAACTGAAATCAACTTCAAGTTTGGCATAAACTTTTTTTGCCATCTTGCTTGCTTGATCATTATGGGGTGGAGCTCTGGACACAAAAACAATAAACCACTCTCGCTCATCATTTTGCACAATTAATTTTAGACGTGGTTTTAGGATTGTCTTGAACTCGTCTAGATCCTGTTGAAACACAAAAGGTGTGGATGTGTCAGAGTAATTATGTAAACCAAACCTTTATAAAGCATGATAGTGCAGCATGGAAGAGAGAATTCCTTAACCATAAACCAGTTATACAAGCTGATTTCTGAATCAGCTTCCTGAAGCCATTGGTGTAAAAGGCTTAAACATATGACTCAAGTGTACTGATAAATATTACAAATAATCTAAGCACTTATGGATGATGTGTAATCCTTGTCAAAGTTAGTTAATGTCCAAGGAATATTTGGAGTAACATGTATATAAAAAGTTGAGAGGATATAGGCCTTCTGTCCATCTGTAAGGAGAAAAAATAAAAATTGTGAATTACCATATAATTGCAATACTGAATTGCTTTAACAGCATGACTCCTCTCCTACCCACGAAGTTATTAACCAAACAAAGTAACCATCATAGGATACTGGATCGCACTTCCTAAAAGGTAATCATTTAATAGCGTACTTCTTAGCTCTTACATTTTTGCAAGTTGATTTCCTATTAATTCTATGAGAAACTAAAAATTCACCAATGAAGAATAGAAAACGCTTATCAAGCCCACATTAGACAATCTTACCTCAGTGCATACTATTGACTTCCATAGGCTGTGACCCCGGCAAGACTACGTGTTAGTTGTCTATAATGAATAAGTAACAACCTTCATCTATGTTTTTTGACTTAAATGCCTAGAACTAGTAGAAACATTGTTCAACTATAGCAAAGATGGAGTATTATAGATACCTCACAAGATACAAGAACAACTGTTGCATACGGCTCCCGGAACGAAAATAACAATTGCTCCTGAGGGAACCTACTGCGGAGCCTTGAATCTGTAGTCAGTATAAACTCCGCTGGCAGGTTATCCACAGATACCGGATTACGGGTTTTGTTATTCAATGTAGCTCTTTTAAGTGGAAGCCTTTCATCAAATCCTTTCTTGATAAGGGGCCACAAATCACTCACATCTTCAACTGGAATCAATTAAATATGAAACTTTTGAGATTTCACCTTTCAGACATACAGGCAAAGGTAATAAACAAACACCAATTGATAATACAATACTTGAGAAGCTAAACAGCGTGTCATCAAGTCAATGAATAATAAACCACATGCAATGAACCATCAGTAAGTCAGAACATTTGATTAGTTAAAGTAAGGTTATTAATCCTTGGATTCTCAACAACAGAGTGTCTCACTTTGACTATTCAGAATTTAAAAGCATTGTTTCCCGGTGAAAAGACTGATAGCATCCCCATGAATTTTCCCAACAAAAACTTTTTTGTAGTTTGACACCTTTAATATAATTAAGCATAACTGTGTTTAAGTCGGTAAAAGCAAACATATTCATATTATTTCCTCTTTCCTTCCCATGAAAGTAACAGTTATTTGCTTTTTATGTTTGGCTCTAATGATGTTAACAATGGAAGACCGCAATGTCCAGTGTAAAGAGAGCGTGACAATCTATAAATTTTGTAGCCAAAAAGTAACACTGTCTATGTGAATTTTGAGTTCAAAGGTACTAGGTCTGAATTTAAGAGATTAAATGTTCACTTCAGTGATGGGAATCATGGGGTTGAAATTATACTAGGCTCTACATATTTCCCATTTGGTATGGAAGGATTACATCCAATCATAACATCGAACAGTCGAGGAAAGTTCAGCAATGTAAACAACAGGCATCAACAATACGTGAGTGATTTAATTTGATCAGATCAGTTGTATTTTGAAATCAGAGAAACACAAATGCGTGTTTCAAACACAATTAGGGCAACAAATAGCAAAAGAAGAATATAGTAATCAAAGTATACCAGCAATGACGACGCGTTCACAAGAGTTCTTGATCGACAGAAACTGAGCTAAGAAATTCGCCATTTATATGATCGATCTGCCGCAATCATAAGAAAATCGATGATCAAGGATGCGTGTTTGTCAACTAGAATGACTGAAATTGGAGTCGTGTACGGTCAAACTAAAACCCCTTCAGTGGGATTTTACAGTATGCCGATTTGATCGGTTTTCTTTCCGCCGTTGTCGGGATTCTGATCTCATGTTTCTTCTTGATTGATCGGGTACATCGCGCCTATGTTACGCTCAGTGTGATCTAGGCGTTGATTGGTTGTGGTTTGTTATTAATCAACTTCATTTTCACGGTAAAGGTTAAAACTTTTGTACCTACCGGTAAAAGTTAAGATTTTAGGGGTTTGTAATTGTTTTAAAAAAATAACTTATTGACTTATTCTGATGTGGTATCGGTAATAAGCATTTTTTAATGTTTGGATAAACAGTTTATATTGGGGTCAAACCGATAATAAGAAATTTTTGAAAAAGTTAAATCATTTTAACTTATAATAAGTTGATAAAAATTTTTGTAGAAAAGCATAAGTTGTTTCAAATAAACAATCTCGAACACACCCTTAGTTCTCCCGTTTACCAATATTTAACGTGTAAGGGCATGTTTGTTTTTTCAAAATTATCTTTAAATACCTCTAAAGTATGATTCGTTCAGACGTTTAAATATTAAAAACGTTTGTTTTATTTCTAAAATAAGAGTTCAAAAGTTTTAAATGTCCTCTGAAATTTTAAGTGGTAAACGTATCCCTTAGTACCTCTTAATCATAATCCACCCTCTATCAAATGATTCATATTTTGGGGGCCGGAAGAGATATGTTAGCAAAAACTATTTATTTTTATACTTTTGTGAAAAAAAACTATTTATCTTTTATATTTTTATACTAGTTTGACCGATTCGGAATTCAGACTTCAAACGTAAAAACAAACAATCTTACTGATCCAGATTTCAGATTTCAGGAACAACTCTTATAAATCATAAATGAAATCATACTTTAGATTTCAACACCTTTTAAAATACAAACACCACCTAAATAATTAATGGGTGGCTAATGCAACTGAAACCATGGGGCATAACCTCAAGCTTGTGTTCAGTAGGTGCAAGTTTGAACAAGTTCGCCTCGTTGGACAAGCCTTGACTAGCCAATGAGACCCTATAAGAGTGCTTTTACTCACATTCTGTCTCGCCCTCATTCGTGCATGCTCGGAGGTGACCTTTTGACTTCGTTTGCTTACATTGTCTATGCGACTTGTATCTGTCGGCTCACAAGCTCACTTTCAGGCTCACTCTCTTTGTATAGTATCTAATCCGACCAGTTTACATGTACACAACACCATCCCCAGTTGAAATAACACCATTCTAGCCCGTTTTGTTTCGTCCTATATGCACAAAGTCTTACCAGTGTGTTTACTAATGTCCGGCATAATAAACTTTCAGTTCATACCCCAATTCATGCAGAATACCATCAATCATGCTTTGAACATAAAGACATCCATTTTTACTTCATACATAACCGTTAAGATTCATAAACAACCTCATTTTCATGTTATATCGTGCTACTGTGGATTTGTCTACCAAATAAAACACTTAAACTCGAAAATGGTGTAGATTTCTGAATTCAATGCTTTATAGCTTCTCATGCTCCAAATTCTCTCTATTTTCATTTCCATGTTTGTTCTCCTTCTCCTCGACTTGATTTGCGCCCCCGCGGGGGGGGGGGGGCAGCAAATGACACCCAAATGGGTCATTTCGTTCTCGAGTTAGTTTTCCGACCTTCTTTCACTTATCTGTTCTACCTAATTCATGAACTGATGAACACGCCATCATCGTGAACCAACTTGCTTTCTTCCCATTGAGTTCATATTGAGCTCCAATACATTCAAGCCTATGGCAATAGTTTGTATGCCATTTTTATATGAAAAATACATTTGATAACTGCTTAGCGAAAAACTATGAATTAATCAAGTATAAAACTGACTACTAGAATGTATTTCAAGACCATAATAGAGAGCAACAAAGGTAACGAGAACATGTAGCTCCTTACATTATAACTTGTTGTGCTGTTCAAGTTAGACGTTATACTGGTTTAAATTTATGTTTAGTTTCACTGTTTCACTAGTTCAGTTTTGCTTGTGTAATTCAGGACCATGTTCTTTAAGCATGGTAAGTACGTTTAAGTATTTCGCTGCACTGATTTGCATAATGTTTATGATGATATTCCAGTATTCATGTTGAACTGTTAGTTGTCATAACCTTAGGAAAAAGTCTAGTGTGACAAATTTGTATTGATTAAGCAAAAATTATTAATGACATATTATTATTTTATTTACTGTATTTTAAATTATGATAATTTCTCTCTAAAAGGTTATCTCATTGAGGATGTTTTACAATCAAAAGACCAAGTAATTTGACCTTGTTGATTTGGGAAATTATGCTCCAAGAGCTATTTTAAACTCTCATTTTTTTTTATTAACTTGGATATCCAACCCGCTATGCGAGCCGACTACTCCCAGGGCGACCATCTGCTTTGCAGATAGCCTGGAGTCACCGCATTTGAACCTCCGTGGCCACAAGGGGATTTTTATTCCTACTTGAATTTGAACTTGAGACCTCCTGGTACTTTTGACCTTTGGAGCCAAATTCAAACAAATCAGACACCACTTTTGTGGTTTATTTTAAGCTCTCATTTAAAATAGGAAAAAAAAAAACAGACGATGGAGAAATATTCAAATTTGGAAGAAGATAGAGAAAATATAACATATATATTTGCAGTTCCTCTAATAGCTTATATTTCATAAAATACATTAAATAAAAATTAAAAATAGGTAAAATGTAAAGAGGGAAATATATTTGATATTTTAGATTGAAATTAAGTTTTATTTTAAGGGTATGTTGGTAAAATATAAGTTTGTTTGATCCTGTTCCATGAAAGGGGATGGAACACACCTCTTACACTATGTTATTGTCTTCCACATGAAACAATAATTCTTGTAATGTTCTATCCTGTAAAGGTTATGTTTGGCAAACAAACTGATAAACTAGCTGATTGCTGATAAGTTAACTGTTAATTTATAAGTTAGCTGGTGAGAATGTAAAATGACAAAAAATGACATATTGAAAAATTAACCAATTATAATATATCAAAATATAATTAAAATAAATCTCTAATAATATAATATATTAATTAATACAAACAAAATAGTAAAAAAAAAATATAATATATTGATTAAAAAAATTTCAAACTAATTGTTATAAATATTATAATATTTAAATTTGTTAAAACAAATTTTAGGAAAAAATTATTATATATGATTTAAATAATCATTACATATAATAAAAATAAAAATGGTCCACCTCACATATTATAATTAATATTTAATGATTAAATGAAATATTTTATTCAACTTATTAATATATTTTTATTATATAAGAAGGAAAACAAATATAATTTTAATTTTTATATAATATAAACATAAATTATTTTATATTTGCAATGACTTCTATTTGTAACTAAAATATATTTAATAATAGTTAAAAAAAATAATATTATGAAAATAATTGATATGATTAATAATTATTGTAAATATTTAACAAATAATATTAATATATAATGTATAATTAAAATTAATTAATAATAATTCAGTTTATATTAATTATTAGTTAATATTAGTAATATTTAAATTTTATTAATATTTATTTATAATTAATAGTAATAAATGATAAATATTATTAATAAGAGTTATAATTGAAAAAATGACAACAAGTTACTAAAATGCTAGTTTAAGGGCTCTTTGGTAATTACTGAATGATTTGGTGCAAAATGATTAAGTAGTCAGAATGATTAAAAGACTTTCATTATATAGTGCAAAATGAAATATAATTGTTTGATAATTGTTTATAATGAAATTAGGAAGTTGAATGGTTAAGAGAGATCTATGATACAAAATCATTTAGAGTGTTTTGAAACTATTAAGAAGCAAACTTTTTTTCTGTCAAATAAGATTTACCTCTTAAGAATTCAAAAACTGCCTCTTAACGAGACTATTAAAAAGTAAACAAACAACCCTATACCCTATCATTTCAATAAGATAATTTATCTAAATTCAAACATATCATTTCAATTTTTATCGAATTTATTAAATGCACCATCAAGGACTAAAAATAATAACATGGCATAGATTAAGGACCAAGACTAAATTTTCACAAAAGCTGGAGGAGATCGGGTACGTGCAGTTCCATGGTATTGTCGATGCGTTGCTGAGTTGTCCCAATGATAGCTCGTGGATTTGATCCCACGCGCTCGTCCTACCAACTGCAAGTAACTGGAAGCTACGAGAATAGATAGGATTTGGATGATGATTAGCCCCGCCAAAACCTGCAACAATTTGGCCATGGCGGTTTCGTTATCTTCTTCAATCAGCTCCCCCAAAGTTTCCATCAATGTCGCAGTTAACCCCTCTGCTTCCAGACGTTATTGTGTGTCGACACGGTCCATGATCCTGTTCAGCAGAAGCCCCGCGAGATCACTTCAGCGGAAGCTTATTAGCTGCATTTTCTCTAAATTGGAGCACTTAACGGTTAGTATGAGTTCTGATTGATCTGTTTTCTCGGTTTATGGTTTTGGAAACGAATCATCGTTGGTTATTTATGTGATGTGGAATTAATATTGTATCACGCTGTACTCTGACTACAGTTTCATGGAATAGCATGCATTTTGTTTTTAGGTAAAAGAAACATTTTAGTGTATGAAAATCCGAATTCAGTGATTTAGATTCGTAATTGAGGTAAATTTAGTTTAGAATTTTGATTGTATGTTGTGTCTATTCCAAGCTTCAACTGCGTCCCGAAAGTCAATTAGAAGCATGGTTTGTCTACTTGGGTTGCTGTCTACATTAGACATGATCAATGTTAGGATAATTTGATAATTTATTTCTAATTTTGCACGTACTTGGACTAATATCTGATACTTATGATGAAAACTAATGATAAGACATCCCAGATTATTTTGTCGACAAACAATAGGCAAATCGATTCTATATTGATCGCATTTTAAACGTTGTTTCTGCCACTTAGGGTTTTCGATGGAGATGAAAATTACCTTTTTCCATGTTTAGCATTCCTATAAACATGTTGACATCACATGATATATAAATAAGAATGCAAATATCGGGCCATTGGAAGCTCTCACCCGACATCTAGACACACTAATCGCTTGCAATCCTGAATTATTCTGATGTACATGTCCATCAGTGTTTGAATTATATTAATAGGTGCAAACAGGAGTCCAGTGGACCTATTTCCTACTGTGAATGATGGGAAAATTATGTTTTGGTTCCAGTAATGCGTTCAATGATATCTGCGTGGTTTTGGTGAATATGATGATGAATTGTGGCCTGTAGGGACTGTGTAGGAATGTGTGTGTTTTGCCCCTGGTCAAAATTCTTACCATTTAGTCAACTTTTTAGATGCAGTAGGAAGAGTGTAGGATAGAAAGTTACTCTCACTTGTAACTTCCTGCAGGTCTGAATTGATTTATGTGGCTACCGCTGTAATAGCTTAGTCCTCCTTGAGCTGTATCCCTTATATCTTCATGTATCAGGAGAACCATGCTTTAGCAGTGGGTTGGATTTTTTCGGAGATGCATTTTTGTGCAATTCTCAGATGTTTTAACACCTGAATGCAAAATACTGCATCGTCTTGCTTCAGGTTGTACCAATTTTACAAATCGGATTCTGTATGTAGGAATGTTCAGGTCACCAAAAGATCATCACCAAATTATATGTGCCAGCTTTAGAGCGTGGAGTTATGAGACTGGGGGCTACAATCTCTGTCATTCTTGTTATCATTCAACTAACATCGCCAGTGCCTTTGCCTGGATGGGATCCGTCATTTCTTCCACCTGCTAAGGCAGTGCTATACTCGCCAGACACCAAGGTTCCGAGAACCGGAGAATTAGCTTTGAGAAAAGCCATCCCTGCAAACACAAACATGAAAAGCATACAGGTCAATCAAAAGTTTATCATTGCTCCACTTTCATTGTTTTGATCTTTCTTATGTTGAAACTTTCTTTACTGTGCTTGTAGAATTCTCTAGAGGAACTGTCATACTTGCTAAGGATTCCTCAGAGAAAGCCTTATGGAACAATGGAGGGTAATGTAAAGAAAGCTTTAAAGGTAATTACTTCAAGGCATGTAAACAGTGTGTAGTGCCGTTATTCTTTTTCCTCATTGTCTCTTCACCCTTCTTGGTTCCCTCTCTCTCATTCACTCTCTGTAATCCTCATCAGATTGCTGTGGATGAAAAGGAATCTATTTTGGCAAGCATACCAGCTGATCAGAAGGAAAACGGGCTGGCAATTTATGCATCTCTTATTGATGGGAAGGTACTTTGCAAGATAGTGATTAAGCTCCTTTAGATTGAGCAGGCGGTAGCATGAGTGTTGCAATGACTGATTTCCAAGGCTCCGTTTCCTTTCAGGATATAAGAATTCCGGAACTGTTATTCTGTTAACATCATATGCTGTCTTTTCATTTGCATGCAATTGCCAAAATAATGCTTTAGGAAACTAGCCATTTTTTCCATGATACTAAATGTCATTCATCTAAAACGTGGAAGAGGAGATTATTTACTAAAATTGATTTCATTGATGGAAGCTCCATGATGTTCCTACAAAACCATATGTACTTCAAGTTCTCTTATTCCCTTTTACAGCTAGATCCATTTATTGTTGTCTCTAAAAGACCAACTAACCTTTTCTTAAGTGCCAACTGGCAAATTATTTTATTCTAATGGATTAAGGAGGTTTCTGATGCTTTTCATATGGTGATATGTTCCTGCGTGCCATATATAGACAAGTAACACAACTTATATATTTTCTCACGTTGTTTTTGAAATCAATGTTCTACTCGTGTTTTATGAAAGTAACATCATGAAAAGTCCATTAGTTGGGTGGATGCCACAGGTTCTAGAATAATGCTTTTGGTCTTGCAGGGAGGATTGCAGACTCTACTTGGATATATAAAGGACAAGGATCCAGATAAAGTATCAGTAGCTCTTGCATCTTCACTGGATTCTATTGCCCAGCTAGAGCTGCTACAGGTACATTGCGAGTAATACAAACTGTACTCTATGCAAAAGCATCGAAGATGTACAAATGTTGGCTTAACTAGTAATTTTATGTTACTTTAACAAGTCTATTGACCAGAAACAATGACAAAGGAAACAAATGAACTCTCATGTTGCAATCAGTTTCCCTTTTGAACTTCAAAATGCAACAAACACAACATCAAACAACCAATTTCATGTTTTTGCCCCTTCATACCACGTAATAATTACTTATCTGTTAAAATTGTTTTATGTGATGCCAACGCTATCCAATAGAAAATTAAAAACAACGTGAAATTTTAGAGTTGATGAAGTTTAGGGGTAAATTTTGAAATTAACCCAAAAATATATATTTTTTTGTAATCATACAAGTAAGAGAATATTGAATTCATAACTCCCTTACAATCTTTATTTAACAGTGAATTTGAATTTTGTTTTGTTTTGATTTGATTTGATTAAAGTACAATAACTGCACAGTTACAATGCAACTTTAAATATCTTGAGCGTTTTCTTGTTGGTCATAAATTTATGTCTGCTTATTAATTGAACAATATCTAAATATAGTCTTAAGTGTATTTATAAACTTGGTTCTATTTATAATTAGTTATTGTTTAGTGTTTTGAATTTTTAGCCTATCATGACATGGTTTAGGAGAGTTTCAAATGGTTTGAAGATCTTGTAGAAAAGGACCTCTAAACACTTTGATAATAATATGGGACCATAATGAGTTGCCTGGAATTTTTTCTTAGAAGTACTGGCTCTCTACTAATGTGACATATAAGTAAAAAGGGGCATGTGATGAATTGTGATTAACTTCTCTTATCTTGTAAGTATATGAGTACCTTTTGACACTTCAAGTTCATAATATTAAATGCCTCATAAAGCTGGAAACTGCTATAAGTAACTGTTTCGCCAAGTGCCAACTTAAATTTGTGCTATGCAAAAGATAATGTTGAATTATTTGTACCAGAGTAATTGATAATATGAGAAATTCGGGATATGCAAGTTACAAGCACTTGATGTATATGATTGCAGTTTTGTTTTTGACAGGCTCCTGGGCTATCCTTCTTGCTGCCTGCGCAGTACACGAATAATCCTAGGTAAAAGTTCACCTAGATCTTTTATTTTCTCAATCTGTATGCTTCAAAAATATTTATATATATGGAAAAGATATAGAGAGAACCTTGAAAAAGAGAACCGGAGAACCATGGAAAAAGGGGATGACAAAATATATCAATGGATGTCAAACTAAAGATAATAAAGTGATCGTTTTTCTGGTGTAATTTGTTTACTCCAATTTTTTTTTGTATTTCGCTGATTTTCGAATTAAAAATTAAGAGGAAATATTTGTATTTAAAGAAAGGTGGTTATAACCACCTTTTTGATCATTTCCATTGGACCATGTCAATCCAACAATTTGGATGGGTGCTTCAGTTCTTTCTTTTTTCAGGGTTTTCTCCCGATCGCACACATATATGTATGTATATATATATATATATATATATATATACTAGAAGGGTACTCACACAATGCAGCGAGATATATCTCGATTTTAATGTTTCGTTTTATTCTTTGTCTTTATCGATGTTATAAGACGATTTTATCTTGTTTTGAGAAAGCAATGATGTTTTTATTTTTGAATAAAATATAAATTTTGAAGATATCATAAAGTTTTGAAAAAAAAAATATATTGGTATTAGTATCAAATTAACTATTTAAAAGTTGTCATTTTTTTGTGTAATTTCTTTAATTCAAATTTTATTAAAGTTCATTAACGAAGTAATTTATTTTTGGTTTAATAATATAATTTTTATAGAGATAATAATTAAGATTATGTTAGAACTCAATGATTATCTTAATTATATTTTAGATTTTTTATATTTAAAATGAGATGTTTATTCTGTATTTAATTATGTTTATCTGCAATTAGTTACACGAATTTAAAAATGGAGCTTTAATAGGTTGTACTTGCGCACAATTTACTTGTAATCTTGAATTTTAAGTAATATGCATCAATAAACAGTACTTCATGCATAAAAATGGTTTTTAAGAGTTTTGATCAAATGCTTTATAATATAGTTTAGATATTGAGAATCGTCCTCAGAGGTCAACGATTCGACTCATGCAAGGCCATGGGGATTTTTCTGGTTGTTCTCCAGCCCCTGGAATTAGTCGAGGTGCGTGCAAGCTGACCCTGACACCTATGGTTTACAAAAAAGAGGATTATCTCTCTGCGCTAGAGGGAAATAAGTGCATATTGGACAAAGTTGTTATATATTTAAATAGGACACCAGAGTTCCATTAACACTTCAGCAAATAGGGTAGACTAGACACCGGAGTTCCATTAGAGCACTTGAGGAAGTGCTTATGACTCTTGATGAGGCATTAAGCCTGGGGTCGGGATACTACATAAGCCCAGTTGCACATCTAGAATGTAGCATGGACTTAAAACAAACTTATAAAATGTTAAACGTAGGAACTTAACTTGGATTTTGTGCATTTTGGTGGCCCTATGGTGTTACTCTAATTTCTAGAGGACTATGATACAAGTCAGCAGCTTTATTTGATTCTAATAAATACTACCTGCTTCCGGTATGACATTGCGGACTTGCTGACTTAGGCTCACGGGGAGAGCAATTGTCGAGTTTGTGGTTGAAAAAGGAGATGGTTCAATGTTTACTCCACAGGCTGGTGGTGTACCAATAAAAGCTGCTACAATCCAGGTATGCTGAATCTTGCCATGTTTAGGATGCATCCTCTACGCAACAGGGTTTTGAGTAGTGAAACAGAACCCACATACTAAAAACAAGTATATTAGTTTATGACTCCCAACACCCACTTTGGAAATCCTCGGTCTTCCATCATGCGACTATGCAGGCATATATTCGTTCCTTGATGTCAAACAACCCGTTCATAGTGCCTCATATAACTACCGCCAACTGTGTTTTTACTTGATGAATCAAGCCTTTCTGTGTGCACAAACCACATCATCTGATAACCAGATTTTCTATTCTTCCATATGTTGAGTAGTGGAGTCTGATGTTGCCCGATGTTTGTTTGCCACGACATGTGGGAGTCCAACTGTCCAAGTGTGCAAGCGCCTTGGCAGGGATCTTGGTGGGCGCCTGGATGAAAATTTGCTTTTATGCCCCAGGCCTATTGTTCACTCAATCTGCTTATTTTATGAGAGAAGTTGAAACCTTATGTAGCCACGTAGGCATTTGGTGCTTCTAAATAATGCTTCTAAATAATGCTTCTATTGGACAAGGAGTATGTCTGCCCTATTTTCTTTGTTTAGGAAGTTTGTTTGATTTTTGCCTGGTATGATAAGAATTTATGCTCTCTTTCATTTTATCCATTTTCATCTTCTCATTGTTCATAAGAGGTCCAATTAATGTAAAATGACCATCCACTTAAGTCTACAACTCAAAGTTACATGCATACTTTTACAAACGTAAAGAAGTGGACTCTAATTTAAGAGAGCAATTGCTAACAAAAAGTTTGTGTACTCATATTGTTTATGTTCTGCAAATCTGGGGTTGTGGCTTCAATTAATTATTAACCATATACACAGGTTGTACTGGATGGATATTCGGCACCACTTACAACAGGAAATTTTGCAAAACTGGTAAGGTAGTGAAGTACTACATCATTCTTTTAAGTTATCTTTGTAACTTCACTACACGCTTAAAACTTCATTTGCATATTAAATGCTTCACAATTCAAATTTACTATTATATCTTGGTGTAATTATGCAATCTCTCCAGTGATTAATTTAAAGATGCATACTTCATGTTCGGTAGAAGTCTAGAAGATATGACTTTTTTCTTCCCATGATTTTTTTTGATCATAAATTTGCTCTTGAACACAACGGATCATACACTTTCAGAACTGATTGTGAATTCACATGTGATTATTAGGGCGTTTCCAATTTCTTGCTTACTCATCGTACTTGACTTCACCGTTGTATTATAAGTGAAAGATTTAGGAGTCATCAAGTTTTAAGCATATTTTATCTGTTATTATGGTATTCAAGTGTTCATTTATGAATAATAATATAAGACTCGTGTTGCCTAAGCATTGGACTTTTTGCGAGAGCAAGATATTACATGACGCTTGGAAGTAACCCGCACCGGTTATTTCCTTTTAATATGTTAAGAGTCCCGCATCGGCTAGACTTGGACCCTTTTACCTCTATATATGTTTGAACCCGTTCTCTCCTCAAAGGCTCTTTTAAAGAGTAATCTAATGGGGTACTACATATCCTCGCATGGTATCTAAGCCAAGTCTACCGCTCTAGGGATTCGTCACTATGATAATCTGTGCCCGTCTAGCCTCAGTTGGAGGGGGCGTGTTGGAGTCCCCAAGTTGACTAGACTTGAGCATTTTTCTTCAATATATGTTGGAACCTCCATTCTCTTCTCAATGGCTCTTTTGTAGAGTAATGTAATGGAGTCCACATAATAAATGGATGTTTTTAATAACAAGAATAAAATATCTTTTAGATTTTGAGAATGAAAAGGGTAAATTAATCCATGTTCAGGTAGTTGATGGGGCGTATGACGGAATGAAGCTCAAATGCACTGACCAAGCTGTTCTTTCAGACAGTGGGATCAATAAGAGCATAGGTTATAGTGTTCCTCTAGAGATAATGCCATCTGGACAGTTTGAGCCACTGTATAAAACAACTTTAAGCATACAGGTTGGTTTATTTTGTGTTCAAATGGTCGATTCTTGATCTCCTTTGCTCATTTTTTTCTAACGTATGACATGTTCCAAATGTAAGGACGGAGAGCTGCCTGTGCTTCCGTTATCTGTTTATGGTGCAGTTGCTATGGCTCATGATGATGTCTCTGAGGAATACTCGTCTCCGAATCAATTCTTCTTCTATCTTTATGATAAAAGCTATGTGAGTAGCATTTATCCCGATTACTTTGGTACAATTAGAGTTGGTTTCCGGTAAGAATAGTAGTTATCGTGAGAAGGGTAAGAAGGGATTTACACCCTTGGATCAATCCTAATTGAAGATCAATTGAAAATACCCTTAATCTGAACCATTAGATCAACACTAACTAGAAGTGACCAAGGGTCCAAATCCCTTCTTACACTTCTCACCTTAACTCCTATTCTCACACGATCCTTCGTTAGTACAATTATAGTTCATAGTTCAGAAAAACGTCAATAATTCTGTTTTTTTTCTAATATTTAGAAACAGAATGTGAATTTATCTAGGAGATCATGACTAATACATGTTTATGCATCAACAGTCTGGCTTAGGCGGCTTATCTTTTGACGAGGGCCAATTTTCTGTATTCGGGTATGTCTTCAAACCTTTTGCACTGATTATATATTCAGGATCGTGCTTGAAGGTGTGCCAATGTTATATATGAAATAGGGCCCCAAAAATACATGTTTTTAACTCAATTATAATGTTTTATGCTTTTGAATAACCGCTCTACCTGTTGTGGTAGAGATCTGCGTACATCTTATCCCTCTCAGATCCTACTTTCGGGATTTACCACGTCAGTTTGGTTTACCCATTGAAAATGGCTTTTGGAGATAGTTGATTATGAGGACCAGGTTAAATATTTTATTTCAAAGAATGTCAGAAGCTGAGGCGGATCTATTAACAGCACCTGCTCAATTTATTTTCGTGAGTAGAATTTTTTGTGAGGTATGAAAGGTGCACCCACTAAATTTTGAAGAGTTCTTTGGGATATTAGAAAATACAAGAAACATCAACCAAAAAACCGGAAAAGATCTTTGAAATCAACCAAAAAACCAAAAAAGTCCCTTGAAATCAACTAAAAACCAAAAAAGTCCCTCAAAATCAATAAAACAAAAACTTAAAATATCCCTTGAAACAGTGGAATTCTTGCTAAAAACACATCAACCAACTTTGCGAGACTCTAATCCACCTTAAAAGTGCACATGCCCAGCAAAAATCCTAGGTCTAGTAAACTTCATATGTTCTATTTAAGGGAATTTCATTTGTTACTTTGTCATTTTAAGACATTTTTTAATCTCTCGCTCGTCCCTCTCTCATGAAAGATTGGGGAGCCGCCCCCACCAGGCAGGCGGCCACGGGTCATAACGCACTCTTCGCACAACAAATCCACTTTGAAGTTGACTTATTCATTGTTGTTTTAGTTTGTAAGATTTTGAATATAATATATGGTACAAACTTTTATATGTTGTTTTCAAAATAACAATACGTTCAGTTGATCTATAGTCTTGGTACTGTGGTACATCTAGACCACATCTGAACCAGGGCCTCCAAAAAGATTGAAATGACGCTGTATACATGGTTAAACAACTTGTTTCTCGCAAAATTGATTTCTTCCAAAAATACATAGATACACGACCATTGGAAGAGATGTTCTCCCTCAAATCAAGACCGGTGATATTGTTCGTTCTGCAAAGCTAGTAGACGGTCAAGATAACCTCGTATTACCGTCAGAAAGGTATAACGGTGTCCGTCCTTTTAACTTATCATTCTACCTTTAAATTCATTTCGGTTTGTTTTCAACAGGTTATAACTTCAAGTTGCAAACTATCTTGCTTGCCAATCGTACCAAAACAAGATCAAATCAGGCAAGTCAATCTTTCGTGTAAATTTGATTCAGCTTAACTTGTGAAAATTTGATTCGGGTTACAAATCTGAACAACCCGAAAACGAGATTTTTCACATTGTTCTATAGAGTTAATGTCTGATATTTCGTACACTGGCTGGCTGGGCAGTAGGCACTATATTTACGACACATTTTTGTTTTACAGATTTCCATTTCAAGTCTTTTACTACATATTTGTACCTATGACCGATGTATTGATATGTTGAGAAAAATCGATTAGTCACGCGTTACTGAAAACACAGAACAAGGTTCGGCCAAAAGTGGAGAATATCGTACTATGAGATTCTCAAATACGATAAAGTAAGGCCAAAACGCACCCATCGACCTTTGCCCTTCGCCACCAACATAGATTCACTTGTTTCCTCTTAGATTAGGGGTCCACAATGGCAGACCTAGGATTTTTGCCGAGCGTCCGATGTGTACAGGTTGTTGTCGTGAGACTTGTTTTACCATTTTTTTACACTTAAAACTTTACAGCAAAACACTATGAAGGTAAATCGTTTGGTTTGAAATTTCTTAAACCACTGCTAACCGTTCAAACTGGATCTCAAACACCCTTAGGGGCCGTTTACCAAATGCTTACTCGGGTAAGCGCTTACCAAGTCATATTACCTCATCAGATGAATATGGTAAGGACCAAGAATTTTACCTGGTAAGAGCGAGACAAGGACCAAGAGTCTTACCCGGTAAGTGAGGGCGACGATTCTTACCATGGTAAGCACTTACCGGATAAATTGTTACATGCGATCTCGTTTTGGTGGCCTAAAATCTTACCTGGTAAGTATATAATAGTATTAAATTTTATTGGTAAGCATTTACCGGATAGGTATTTGGTAAACCGCCCCTTAGTATCAAATAGGAAGAAAGTAAACTTATGAACATACAAGAACGAACAAATCACAGCATGTTTAGAAAGGTCATGTCCTCTGTGTCCTTCATATACATACACATGGATGCAGATATTGCATGCACACACTTTCACATACACAAGTTTTTTTCTTCTTTTGAATAATTAAGGATAGTGTTTTAACCTGATCTGGTAGGGAACCCGGCTCACCCAACCCGAATAGGGACAGGGATTTCTAGCTAAAACGGGTCCTAAGGCCGGGGATCCCTGGTAGACTCAAACCGGGGCTGTTACTCAAACCGGGGCTGGGGGCGGGGCTGGGATCCTCGGTAGACTCAAACTAACGGATATTCTTCATGGGGTTTGACAGGGGTTTGATTGGGACCGGGGCCAAGGCCGAGGCCAGGGTCATGCCTATGAATAACACAATTATTCCATATGTACTATGAAGTTGACCCCGCACCAAAAATTATTGAAAATAATTAACTTTTGATTTATAAATGTAACATTTCATTTTTTTAATCATATTATCATATTTTATTTTATAATAATATATTTTCAAATTATTTTTATTAGATCATTATATTTTGAATAAAACTACCTACTATAGCAATAACTAATAAGTAACATGTTTATCCACAAGGGTGGTGCCTGATTGGTTTGAGCTTGACTTCAAAGGTCAAAGGTATCAGGATGTCTCAGGTTCAAATCCAAGGAGGAATAAAAATCCCTTTGTAGTCATGGAGGTTCAAATGCGGTGACTCCGGGCTATCTGCAAAGCAGGTGGTCGTTCTGGGATTAGTCGGCTCACATAGCGGGTTGGATATTTAGAAAAATAGAAAAAAAAAGTATCATGTTACCTTCAGAGCATTTTAAACAGTTATACTAAAATTTCTCTAAAAAGTTAAAATATCTAAAAATTGTATTCAACCCTAGCTGCTCTATTTTAAAAACTCTATCATTAATTATATTATTAAAATAGTCAATATATTTAATACTTTAATAACTATTAAACACACTCTCAAACAATCCAACTAACTTTCAAACAAATTTAATATGAAATGGTAAATCTTTTCTCTATTTTGATATACAAGATGGCATATAGCGGTTCGAGCGAAAAATTGATAAAATCCTTATTTTTTTCATTTTAACATAGTTATCGGAGATGCTTTACACCGGTTACTCAATCAACCTCTTATTTTTTTTGCTTACATGACTTAAATGAGATGATGTGGATGACACATCATTTTACTACATAGCATAAAAAACCCTAATAGAAATTGTATACAAATTAAATATTTTAGAATAATATTTTTTTAACAATGTGATAAATGTTACGTCAGAAATATGTTACATGTAGACATCCTATATCAACAATAACATGATATAGAGACATTTTAACGTGTGTCATATCATCTTAATTAAAAAAAAGATTATCTGTTATTTTAATGAGTAATTTTTTTTAAATTACAATGTTTTAACAACAAAAAAATAACTTAAATATATATTATCGTAATAAGAAAAAAAAATATAGTGCTATAATGATTTTTTAAAATAAAATAAATTGCTTTTATACATTTATGGACTGTTTGATAGTTGCTGAATGGTTTGGTGCAAAATTATTAAGTGATCAGAATGATTAAGATGCTCTCATGATATAGTGCAAAATAAAATTTAATTGTTTGACAAAAAAATCTGCATCTTAATGGTTATAAAACCCTCTGAATAATTTTATATTAAGAAATTGCCTCTTAATAAAACCATTAAAAGATAAACAAACATCACTTTAACCCTAAATAAAATTAAAACTTATAAAAAAATAGATTGAATATCTTTTTTTTTTCATCCACTAATAAATGTTGTAGCTGTTAATTCGAGCTAACATTGTAATTATGTTCTTGAGTAAACTACAATTTTCGTCCCTTTAGTTTGGTGTTAATGACATTTTTCGTCCCTATGATTTAGAAATTGTTTTTTTCATTCTTATGATTTTTATTTTGTTTCTCTTTTTGTCCTTCTGACTAACGTGTTAAAGTAATTTATTAAATCAAGGGTATTTTCGACTTTTAATATATATATATATATATATTATTTAGAAAATTATAACATAATAGTATATATTATACCTGTAATATAGATATATGGTAGCCACCTCAACCCCATCCTATTCTGATTCCTATTCCAATTCCCACCCCATCGTCTTCGCCAACCGATACCTCAACAAGGTTACATCACCACCAACGTAACTGGCCAATAATATTTGGCTCCAGCAATGTCCCAAACGAGTACCGGTTTTTCATATTTGAAATCGATAGCGATAATAGTCTTGATAAGAAGGGTAGTTTAAAACATCCTGAGGGTGAGTGAAGATCCTGATGAATTTTTCTTTGACAACCGAAAGGAAAGGCAAAGAAGAGACATGGTTGCTTTTCTTAGGTGCTGAGTGCTAACAACCAAGGAAAAGAGATGATATCACGAGAGCTAGCCAAGGACGGACCTATAGTGGTGCATATGATGGCACATGTCAACGTATTATTCCTTTGTCGAAGGATAAAAAATTTAGGTTCGTGAAAGGTGCAACCGTATTGATCTGTTGTATGCCACCGTATGTATTTGAAACTATAACGAACACAAGTTTTATTTGGTGGAGTTGGTTTGCAAGGTTTTTATTCCACTCCAGACTTAAGTTCAAATCATGTTAGTGTCATTTTTTTAATCAAATGGTGCCATCGTTTGATTTTTTTTGTATATTTGTTTCTTATAAGGAGGACACTTTTAAAAAAATTTAGTTTAAATTTTATAATAAAAAACTAGATAAAATAGGAAAAAGACCAAAGTTGTCCCTCATTTAACGGATTCCGTTAACAAAGTTAGTCTAAATGACGAAAACGACAAGAATTTACAAACCACAAGGACCAAAAAAAGCAATTTTTAAACCACATGGACAAAAATCGTTATAAGCACCAAAACATAGGGATGAAAATCATAATTTACTCTATATTCTTTTAAAGAGTTTGATGTGAGGGGTCTTGTATTGTAATTATCGATGATATTTCTTTATCTTATACATCCTTTCGTACCAAAATAAATTATATTAAAAATTATTTTTAACTAATGAAATGACAACTTTATCCTTCAATTATAAACATACAAATTTTATGTTTTCTCATAGTTAATGATGTAATGGGAAGGTAGACATTTACTTTTGAAAATTGAAGCTTATTTTCGGACAAACTAAGGTTTGACAGTTGTTGAATGGTTTTGTGCAGAATGATTAAGTGGTCAGAATGATTAAGAGACTTTCATGATATAGTGCAAAATGAAATATAACTGTTCGGTAATTGTTTACAATGAAATTAGGGTGTTGAATGATTATGCAAATAGAACAGACACTTAGTTTGAGACGAAAGGAGTATTTACACATGTATTTATTCATTTAAGTTTTTAAGATATACATTTATACGTACACGTAATGTATCACATTCGAATTAATTCTTAAACACGTATTATGCAAATGCATACATTCATCGATCCGTATTTGGAAACAGTCCATAAAAAATTATCTCGAAATTAAAATCGAGAAAAAGATAAAGACAATATGATCGTAATTGGACAAAAAATAATACCAGATTTAGTAACTAATTACTCAAAATGTATTAAAGCCGATTCTTACTCATGCTTAAAATGGAATTAAATGCAACGAATGTGCGCTAATTTGTGTGGTTTTAAGATAATGATTCCATTTGGATGACAACCCGAATGGTCCTAGAAGTCACTCGATCGATTATAACAGAAGAAAATAACATAAATTAAAATTATAAATTTAATTAATTAAAATTTAATTATCAATTATGATTAAATATTTTTGGGGTTCATGATCTTTTGCTTAGTTATATTCGTTTTTTAAGCGATCGGTTAATCTTGATTGTACAACATATGATTGAAGATTCGAACGGAAATGATTCGAGGTTGATTTTACATGAACGGTCGAGTTTAGGATCTATGCTTTTGACTCGAAACGATAATTACGTATGGGTTGATGTTATACGTTTGAATGTGTAAACCAATACATATTCCGGTGGATAAAATCGGAAGGGGGATTATTTATTTAATAAAGTAAAAATATGTTTAGACAGTTGGTTACTTCTAACTAATAAATATAATTAAAATGATATCGAAAGTCATTCTTCGTCAGGTCAAATCAGCGTTTTGCCGTCTAGTTTGATTAATTAGTTGTTCGTAATTTTTTCTGTATTTTTTGTTCACTCAACCTCACGGTATTTCTCATGTTTCTCTTCTTCTACTTCTCATGTTTATTTTATTTTATATATTTTGCTGTGAAAGTTCGGCATTTTTTTATATTCACATCATTTTATTGTGAAGTT